AGGACAGGGGGCATCGGGGGCAACCCCGCAGCAGACGTCCCCAAGTCAGCCGTTGCTGAAACTGACCAGCACTGACTACAGGAAGCCCGAGGCACAGTTGCTCTGCCCCGGGCTTCCTGGAATCAGCGTCTGATCAGTTTCAGCAGCAGCTGACTTGGGGTTATTAAGTTGAATCTGTATGTAAGTCAGAACCTGCGGTCAGTTTCAGCAGCGGCTGAATCTGGACGCCAGTTCCGACTTACATACAGATTCAACTTAAGAACAAACCTACAGTCCCTATCTTGTACGTAACCCGGGGACTGCCTGTAATTCAAAAGGGCCTGGGGCTCCCAGCTGCCACTGCTACCACAGCAGTGGCAGGGGCCGGAGCTCCAGGCCCTTTAAATCACTGATGGAGCACCCTAACTCCTCCCCTTCCACCCAAGACCCTGCCACTTCCACGAATGCAGAGCCACTCCACACCCTCTTGCCCAGGGGCCAATCAATTCGGTCAGTCTGCCAGCTATAGGCAATGCAATAACAAAGCATCTTTTTTACATTAAAAACCACAGCAGTGGCAGGGGCCGGAGCTCCAGGCCCTTTAAATCACTGATGGAGCACCCTAACTCCTCCCCTTCCACCCAAGACCCTGCCACTTCCACGAATGCAGAGCCACTCCACACCCTCTTGCCCAGGGGCCAATCAATTCGGTCAGTCTGCCAGCTATAGGCAATGCAATAACAAAGCATCTTTTTTACATTAAAAGTGCAGGTGAGGTGATAAGTCATGTCTGAACTAGAGCCTGGTTAAGCCTTGTGCTGGGATGAGTCATTCCTGTGCTAGGCTCCAGCCAATCCACAATCCAGGAGCTGGTCTAGTGATTATGAGGACAGGTCTATGCTAAACCAGAAGGTTGGCTTAAGATATGCAACTCCAGCTACGTAAATAACAAAGCTGGAGTCGACTTATCTTAAGCCGAATTTCTCTAGCAACCCCACAGCAGGAGAAACTCTTCCATCGCCTTCCCTTGCTCCTCACGACTGCAAGGAATTCTGGAGTCAATGGGAGCATCCGCAGCATTCTATTCAGTGGGTCCTTACAAAACCTGCTAAATCGAATGCCAGAAGATCGACCTCTGCAGCGTCGATCCTCCGTTTAGTATAGAAATGGCCTTAGAGTAAGTATACAAACCTCACAGCGGAAACAGGAATCTGATTACTCTTCCTGATATTGATGTCAGATTCCACAGGCCTTGGTTTATTCCAACCTAGCATCTGCAGCTACTTTTGTTTTGTCCCAACCCGGTTCTTAACTTGAGATTCTGCCTCTGTCGTTTGTCTTCAGCAACTAGGCCTGACCATCCTCACCTCAGTGTCTGACTGTGCAACTCTAATACCAAACATCTGGTTCCCATGTAGTAATATAAGATTGTTTGTTCTATAGCAACCGCCCCTAAATTGCTAAAAGTCACAATATGATACAATTGATGCTCATATATCCTAAACCTATCTGAACAGGATTTTAGTAATAGTCACATGAAGGACTACAGTATATCACCCATTCGCTTTACAATACAACTGGAACTTAAAATTGGCTCTAATTCCGTTTGGCCAATTAACTAAAGTTTGCCCTGATGTTCTGAACCTAATGTATTGGAGAGGGAGAGGGAGAGGGAGAGAGAGAGAGAGAGAGAGAGAGAGAGAGAGTTTCAAAAGATGCTATGCTGATTTGTTGGCCATTTATGTTCATTTAATGATCATTAAACCATTAGGTTTGTATCTGACATCAGAACTAACCTCTTCATGAATGCTTTCTGAAAAACATTTAAAGAGGAATAAGAAATGTGAAGTTAAGATTAATTAGGGTTTTTAATTTAATTGATGGAAAAATCCATTTTGGAGGCACCAGTCACACAGAAAACCCAGAGTTAAGGTAGGATTGAATTTTTCACTAAAATATTAGGAAAAGCCTCATCTTAGAAAAGTACAGACAGAGGAACTGAAGTGCAGTGTCAAAATGCAGTTTTTTTAGCTGCAGAGTCTTAGCAATTACACCATGGGGTAACTTTCTAGACTTCCATGGAGTTATTCCAGATTCAAGCCATCATATGTGATATTAGAATCCCCCCCCCCCCCCCTTTTTTTTAAAGGGTAATGTATTGCTTCAGTCACCCATGAAGCTCTGGTGGCACTATAACACTAGCAGAAAACAGAAGCATTTCAATTGTTTCAGTGATAGGAACAGAAGTCTGGAAACACACTGCCTATGCCTTTGTCCTGAAATCCAGAGAGGGGTAAAAATAATGGCCAAAATTCTCTCTGTGCATGATTTCCACAGAGGGCGACGGAAGTAATGGAGCGTTGTCAAGATGCTGAAGCATCTGGTTTCTTAAGGCAATTCTGAGCCTCCCATTGTCCTAGTGGTATTTAGAGCAGTCTGGGGGCCTTCTCTAGACTGAGCCAAATGGTCACCGTTCCCAAGTAGCCACCAGCAAAATAAGCAAAGTCAGAGCACAGAGTGTTCTGGACACCCCTCTCAGTACTCTCTATTGGTGGGTGTGACATAGAGGGTCAACATGAGCTGGGGACCAGTCCCTACCAAGTGAATCCTCAGCCTATAAGTGGGGACCAGTCTGTGCTCCTGAGGCCCTTTGTGTCACTGGAGTAACGCAACAGAAGAGATGGGGATAAGGAATCTGGCCTAACAATGTTCCCTACAGTTCTCTTTCCTCAGAGTGGGAATCCTGTCAGATCTCCCAACCTACATCACACCTGGCCTGGCCTTTACTTAGATGACAGCCCTCTGTAACTTGGTTTTGACTAGGCAGTTGGTATTTGGTATCACCTAAGGGGAGAAGGTAAGATGCAGAATGGGTGGGCTCTTGCTGTTCCATTTCAGACTGAATTGCTTAAAGCCAGACTATTTTAGGCTACACTTGAAGAACAAACTGGACAGGATTTGTTAGAACATTGTTGGTTGGAATTCTAATGTACTGGAATCAGTAACTGTAAAGTGTAATTTAGCTTTTGGGGGTTTGTGATTTTATTGTAATCTTAGGGTACGTCTAGACTACATGCCTCTGTCGCCAGAGGCATGTAGATTTGGCTACCAGGCCTAGGATGAGGCATACCTGGGTGGTCGACAAATGCCTTTGATGTCGACACCCGCGTGTCCAGACTATCGCGCTGAGCCGACAAACAGCTGATCAGCTAAGCGCGGCAGCCAGGTAAATTTAAATGAAGCGGCGATTATTTAAATCGCCGCTTCATTTTCCTATGCCTGGTAGCCTAATCTACATGCCTCTGGCGACTGTATTTCAAGGGGTGTGTGCATTCTAGGTCACTTTGTTATGGAACAAGGAGTTCAGTGCTTTAATCCTTTATGGACATTTATTCTGAGCTTTCAGGGAGCTCAATCAATTGAAGCCAAAACTATCCGTATGAGACCCCAAAGTAGCAACCAAAGACTGAGGAATATAGCAATTTGTTTCAGTGAGGTTTCAGTTTTGTTGAGTGGGCAAATAATATGAAGGAATTTTCTCTCTCATATTTGAGATTCAGGATTTGGAAAACATCATGGATTTAAAGTAATGGCACTAGGAATTTGGAGCACAGCACATAAAGGCAACATAGTTGGAAGTTAGGTTAACGATTTTGTTTTCTGTTGCCCTCATGCCACCCTCATGCCATGGGTTGGGTCTTATGCTCCAGGAAAAAGTCTCATAAAATGCACAGGTGCAACCTTGTTTACCATGTGGTCATCCTCTTAACAGGGGTTTTCATAGGACTTCTCCACTACTTGTCACTTGTACAGAATGCTCAAAGGCAGGGGCAGATGACTGTTTTGCGGGGCCCCGGGCAGCATAACTCCGCGGGGCCCCCCCTTTGCCACGGTGCATGCGCGGGGCTTTTTTAAGCCCGGGGCCCGGGGCGGCCGCCCCGTTCACCCTGCCCTATATCCGCCCCTGCTCAAAGGACAAAAGAGCAGCCAAGATTCTATTATACTCTACTCCATAATCTTTATTTTTACCCTGATGCCCTATAAAGCTGCAAAAGGATTTTTAAGATGGCCCTGTTGATTTTAAAGCCTCGAATTGTATAAGCCCAGGCCACGTTAGAGAAATCTTCCATTGGTGTTAATAAAATTACTGTTGGGCCTACGAGAGCTAGTAATGGATCAAAACTGTGTTGTGCCAGATGCTGTACAAACAGATGGCCCCTTTCCCAAAGAGCTTGTGATCTAAAAGTGAGGCTTGTCCAGGCAGATGTTTGAGTGTGATATCACATGGCTTTTGGGGAGTCTGGTCATTGTGCTTTGGATCAAAAGCTGATTGTGATTTTGCTCTGGCGGGTCATAGGATGTGAGATTCATTCCCTGAAGATGTCAACCTGCACTCTTTTTAATGGGTGTTTTCTACTATACATCTGTGGTGAATCATGAATCGGGCCCTATTTGAAAAGAATTACATTACATTTGCTCCACAGTGCAGTGCATTGTAAAGTGCTTTAAGATATTTTCATTCCCATGCAAACATCACAGAAGGGTCTTGCTGAAACCGGCTACATCTCTATTACTATACCACAGAAGGGGAGTGCTTTACACAGACAACCATTAGTTACTCTCTCTATCAAACCAGTCTCCCTAATACCCACACAAACAACAACACTCCAGGCAGAGAAGAAGAGGACTGCATCCTATGGAAATTGCAGAGGAAAATTAGGTAGGGACAGAATGTATTTATTCAAAATAAACGTGACCGGGACACTACGATACGGCCACTGCGCAAACATGACTTGTGTGGAAAAATGGGCAACAGGTCCTTCTATATCCAAGCCTCAGCTTTATATCACAGCTGCAGCAGCAATGTGCTTCCTAGCACCATGGTGGGACATTGGTTTAGTGATGACTCAGAAGGAGGAATCAGAAGTTTGCAATTCTTTCATCTATGTACTGACTAGATCTATCAGTTTAGGACACAGTCCTGCAGCATGCTGAGTCCCTCCTGTGAGGTGCTAATTGACTTAGGTAGGAGTTGTCCTTTCTCTGCACCAGGCAGGAGTAGACCATTTGGGCTTGATTCAGTGCCCAAAATCTCCATGGTTTTACCTGGACTTTGGGTCAAGCCCTTAGTTTGTCAGTTCTGGTAAAATCATAGCAGAAGGTCGCACAGCTGCTTAAACTGTCATGCCCTTAACTTGCAATGAATTTGGTATCAGCCCATTTTTCTCATAGGAACCAAAGCTCTGTTTAAGTAATAGAAAATGGCTATTTCTATAGCTGTAACTTACCATTGCTGGCAATTTTAGATATGCACCGGTGACAAGCTTTCTCCAGGCCAGCAGCCATTGATGATCACTGTCTGGTATAGCTGTAGGGACAGAAATAATAAGGGCGTGACAATAATAAGTTGCATTTTTAATGAACTAAAAATGATGGGCCAGATTCACTGCTTTGCTTTAGCAGCCCCAGCCCCCAAAGCAGCCCCACACTCAATTTGCTGGAGTAGCACCAAGTAGCCAGAGCATACAAATGAATCTAGACATTGAACCTCACTATAAACTGAATGCTAAACGCCTGATTCACTTCTCACATAACATTGGTGTAACTTAGGAGAAACTCCACTTAAATCAGGCATGTGACATGAGTGCAAGTGAGAGGAGATGGTATAGATCAGGGGTGGGGAACCTCCAACATGCTGGTCAGATACGGTTCATCAAGGTAAGCTGCTGACGGGCTGCCAGACGCTTGGTTTAACCTGACCATCTGCAGGCATGGAGCCCCGCAGCTCTCAGTGGCCATTGGTCAGTGTTCATGGACAATGGAAGCTGCAGGAAATGGTGGCCTGCTCCGCGCTGCATCCTGCAGAGTCCATTGACCAGAAATAGTAAATCGCGGCCTTTGGAAACTAGCGCTCCATGCCTGGGAACACTCAGCTAAACAAAGTGTCTGGCAGCCCACCAGTGGCTAATCCTGAAGAACCAGAAATTCCCCATCCCTGGTAGAGATAAAGAGTAGAATGCACGGTGAAAAAGGGGTGTGGCATACATGCACAACTGGATGTGTCTGAAAAAGAGCAAGTCAGAGACATTCTCAGAGTGCAAACAAGGCACTTAGCTAACGGCTCCCTTTTGGCCTTGCTGCTGCTATTAGTCAGGAGCATTCTGGCAGCCAGACAGCAGAGCTTTCAGTAATGCAGAGGATCAGCTTCCCCTCCTCTCCTTATTTTGTCCATGTCTTTACACCAGGCCCTACACTCCCTGTCTGCACTGTGCAGAATCAAGGCCACCATTAAGAAAGACAGTGACTTTTTAAAAGATTAAAATTGGTATCCATTGTACATAAAGGGGATGTATTTAAAAAGTCATTTGCCAGCAATTTCTGCGCAGTTGTATGTGTGTTAGCACCCTTCCCCCATACTCAGAAATGCTGTGCAGTAACTCTTGGCAAAGGCTGCCTCTCTTCATGTGGCCACACAATAAGATGATGGTAATTCAGAAGTGACCTAATTCTGGAAAAGTTCACCCTGTCCTCTCCCCTCTCACACTCAGTGTGCCACAAAACCCTCCCAGACTCATTAAGATACTATCATGCTTTTGGATTGCAACAAGTGACAGGTTAAAAGAAAGAAATTGGCAGTGAAGTCAGGGCTGGCCTTACCATGAGGCGAACTGAGGCGGCTGCCTCAGGTGCCAAACTGGGGGGGGGGGGGGGGGGGCCCACCCACACCCAGACCCAGAGTGTAGAAAATTGTGTCTGCTGCTGGTGCATATGTATTCTCTCTGCTCTAGATGCACAGAGATGGTGGAGTGCTGTGCTGGAGGAAGGAGGGCACAAGAGACATAACAGGCAGGCAGGAGAAAAGGTGGCATGGGGGCGTCATTTGAGCTCCCCGCCTCAGGTGCCAAAATGTTGTGGGCCGGCCCTGAGTGAAGTGTACTTACTGCGCAAAGCGTGAGCAGGTAACAATGTAGTTGTAGTAGGTTGTATACAACGTTCACAATGCTAGCAAGAGCTCCTGGCTCACAAAAACACAATGTAGAAGCAGCACAAGGCTTCATAACTCTTTACCAAAGGAAAATGATATCCTCTTATAAAACTAAATGAGAGATCAGTTTTAAATGTAGAAAAAAGTAGATTAAATTGAAGGCATTAGTTGTAAATTTTATTCCTGAGCAACCCCAAATTAGACTTTGCTTTTAGAAACAAGACATAGCTAGTGACATATCCATAAAACAATCTAATTAAATCACTTTGGCCATTATGAGAAAAATATAAACACCCATTATTTTAATTTTTTTAAAGCAACAATGGAATGAACAGAAAATATTTTCATAGTTGTACCTTTTTCTAAAATTACTTTACCTATCCTTTATCAGTGCTTGTAAAAAAAATCTTTGAGTATCAAATTATCATGGATAAACAACTGTACAAGCTATATTTCCACAGACACAGAGAGAGAAAGCAACATGTACTCTCAGTCTAAAATAACTTTGGTTTTAAATAAAAACTGCAATAAAGAAGCCAAGTAAATTGTAATAGACTCAGTATATGTGATCATGTCTCCTTCTAGTGGCTGGCCTGAGTAACTACAGCCATCCTATCACATGGCTAAAATTGAGTTCTGCACAGAGGGAGAGTTCTTTAAAAATGTAAAGACCGAACTAAGAAAGCAAAACGTATGCATGTCTCTTAACTACACACACAACAGGGCATATTTATATCACCTCTAGATAAATTCACTAGATTACAGATAAAATGCACCCATTTACCTGGTTGACTTTGAAACCTTTATGATTGATCTACTACTTTGGAAAGAGCCATTAAGTCTATGGGTAATGTGCCAAAAAAGTCCCTGTGTGCAGGATTGTAATGCATTTTAAGCACAAAAGCATTTACTGTAGCTAATAAGCTACAACAGATGTGAAAGAGAAATTCAGTTGCCAGGCAAATTGAGGGATAATTTTCTTTGGAAAGCTGCGATTACAAGAAATTAAAATGTAAATTATCACTAAAAATTATACTGAATCAATGCAGAATATAGAGGCTTATACAATGCTAAAGTAATGCAGATAGGCACCCTCATTTTGTCCACAACAAGTATTGCAGGGGTCTTAGAAAATCACTGACAGGTACACACAGTACCACAGGTAATGAAAAACCCAGATACAACTGGGTAAAGATAGAGACAAAGGCCCACATTATGCTTCCTCCTTACCTCAGTTTTACCCTGTTGCTACTTCATTGACTCAAATAGAATTATTCTGGTGTTGCACAGGTGTAAGGAAGAGTCTCCAGACAAAGAGACAAGTTATTCAGTCACCATGGGGGTGGTCACATTAGCTGTCAAAACAGCTGCCCAGCCCTAAATGCAGAAAATTCGTCTGGTGAACCTGCATAGCTGTAGATCCTGGAGCTACTCCCTGGCCTGCTGTTCCTATATGGTAGCAAAGGTGGACTCCATAGACCAGAGCTCCAGAGCATGTATTTCCTCTCCACATCCTGCTCAGTCTCTGCACAGCTGACCTCTTCCAGTCCTTCTCCCTTTTGTGCCAGTTGTGCTGGTGGAGAGGGTCAGGGTTGCCGCAGAATGTTGGTTTCAGGGCTTGAACTGCAGCAAACTCATGACACACTAACATTTGCTCAGATACTCTTCCCCTTGTTTTAAAACTCTGTGCCTTATTCCTCTAGGTAGTAATGAGAAGTCTCTGTCGCTCAGACCCATCTGTAAACTCAGCTCTACATACCATGAACTTTGAATTGGTTTGCTGCCGTTGGTTTTTGCCCTAACCTGACATTTTTTCAGCCCAGCCCACTCTCAGCCCCACATAGCATGAACTTTGAATTGGTTTGCTGCTGTTGGTTTTTGCCCTAACCTGACATTTTAAGAGTTGGGCTCGCCAAAATAAGAATGAACCTCTCTTTTGTGAGCATGCCTGACCCCTCTGCATTGATATCCCCCCATTTACACTATTCCCACCACCTACTTAAAGAACAGATTCCAAACTGGTCTTCTGTTATTGCGTTGCTTCAAATATGCTTTGGCTACACAAAATAAGCAGCTTAAAGAACAGATTCCAAATTGGTCTTCTATTATTGTGTTGCTTCAAATATGCTTTGGCTACACAAAATAAGCTGCATTTTCAGTCAATTCCAAACACTGCTGAGGAACAAACCAGGAAGACAGACTGTTGCTTTCTAAATTACCAGTCCACTGTACTGTAACTTTACAAATCCTGACTGCTCACTCAGTTAGACTTTGTCCCAAGACCCAAAATCCGTCGGCAACAGAAACATGCTCATCTCACTGCATAGATTCTAAAGAATTTTTTAAATATTCAGAAAACCTTTTCTAACGTAGTGATCTGCAGTCCATTTCTCCCTGACAACATACAAAATGCTACGTTGTCTTTTAGTCTGCAAACATTCCTGGCAAATCAGCGTCTTTCCAATGAATTTCTCATACCTGAAAGGACTTTAGAGTGCTGTCTTAACTCACCTTGTTAAACCAAAGAAAGATCTAGAATGAGAAACCACAAAATAGATTCTTCAACAAAAGTATCTGGTGAAAGTTGGATCCTGTGATACACTATAGTGATAGTCAGCTTCCAGGGACCCTACTTTCAGTTATCTGGCTTTGGGTGATATTGGCTTCTTTTCATTCCACATCTTTCTCTGTCAGTTGCATGCACCTTTTCTCTCTGTTGCAGTTCAAATTCCTCTGCTGCAGACAGGCAGCTCCTCTGCTGTTTCTAGTTATGAGAAGAACTGATCATAATTATTTCCTATACTCCCACAGTTGGCTTGCTCCCCAACCCAAGAACTGCAGGGCTTTACAGTGCCATCAGGGGGCAGCAGAGGAACCCTTAGGAGACTTGTGAAGGTAGAAGAAGCAATATTGCCTTTGCAAAATTTTTCAGCAGATTTGATTTATCTGTAAATCAGCAGCTCATAGCAAATGCTTGGTTTAATTTTTGGTGTTGTTTTGTCCCCTGGTCTGATGTAGTATTCTGCAATTTACAAAACTGCCACATACACAACTTCTATGATTAGCTACTGGATGTTGTTTATTCCTGTATATATTACATTACCTCTGTAGAGAGATACTTTTTAAAATATTTACTCACCAGGTTCTCTTTTTATTAACAAGTGCCTGTATTATTCAAGTCTAATAATAAGTGCTATTCCACTAGCTGGAAAGCAATACTTTTTGTACAATAGGAAACCATGTTTGACAGATAAATCTCTTCGGGAGCAACTACAGCATTAATGAAGATCTACACATATTTAGGGGCTTTTATAAAGGACTTTGCAAAAAGGGGCTACCAGCTGGTAAAATCACCACTAGGGAACTGACTAAATGCCTGCCAGAAATTTGGAGAAACAATAGTGAACTCAGCCCTCATGTTTACACAGCATTCATGAATAACTAATTCTAATGTTAAAACAAAGCTAACAGCTACATAGTAGGAGGAGGATGTCCATGGTTGAGTTTGCTGAGGAAAAGAAAATTGAATTGCTTTAAGTTTTTTTTTTACATGCAATTGGTTTAAACTGCTATAGTTCTTTGAGAGGGTCAACAGACATGTGGACAAGGGGGATCCAGTGGATATAATATCTTTAGATTTCTAGAAAGCCTTTGACAAGGTCCCTCACCAAAGGCTCTTAAGTAAAGTAAGTTGTCATGGGATAAGAGGGAAGGTCCTTTTGTGGATTGATAACTGGTTAAAAGACAGGAAACAAAGGATAGGAATAAACGGTAAGTTTTCCAGGTGGAGAGAGGTAACTAGTGGTGCCCTTCAAGGGTCTGTCCTGGGACCCATCCTATTCAATTTATTTATAAATAATCTAGAGAAGAGTAAACAGTGAGGTGGCAAAATTTGCAGATGATACCAAACTGCTCAAGATAGCTAAGACCAAAGCAGACTGTAAAGAGCTTCAAAAACACCTAAGTGATTGGGCAACAAAATGGCAAATAAAATGTAATATTGATAAATGTAAAGTAATGCACATTGGAAAACATAATCCCAACTATATATACAATATGTTGGGGACTAATTTGGCTAAAATTACTCAAGAGAAAGATCTTGGAGTCATTGTGGGTAGTTCTCTGAAAACATCCACTCAGTGTGCAGCGTCAGTGAAAAAAGCAAATAGAATGTTAGGAGTCATTAAAAAGGGGATAAAGAAAAAATCTTATTGCCTCTATATAAAACCATGGTACACCTACATCTTGAATACTGCGTACAGATGTTGGTTGCCTCAAAAAAGATATATTGGCATTGGAAAAGATTCAGAAAAGGGTAACAAAAATGATTAGGGGTTTGGAATTGGTTCCATATGAAGAGAGATTAAAAAGACTTGGACTTTGCACCTTAGAAAAGAGGGGGGATATGACAGAGGTCTATAAAATCATCACTGGTGTGGAAAATGAGAATAAGGAAAAGTTACTTATTCCCACAATATAAGAACTAGGGGTCACCAAATGAAATTAATAGGCAGCATGTTTAAAACAAACAAAAGGGAGGGGTTTTTTTCACTCAGAGCACAGTCAACCTGTGAACGCCTTGCCAGAGGATGTAGTGAAGGCTAGAACTTAAACAGGGTTCAAAAAAGAGCTAGATAGATTCATGGAGATTAGGTCCATCAATGGTTATTAGCAGGGCCCACTGAACCACGGCGAGCTCCGCTCACCAGCCGCGCAGTCCGGCGATCTGTGCATGCACAGATCGCCCAAACCCGGCTCTTCCGGGTTGCCACAGACGAGTAGATTGCATTATTTGTCGAGCCCTGGTTATTAGCCAGGATGGGTAGGAATGGTATCCCTAGCTTCTGTTTCTCTGGAGGTGGGTTACAGGAGAGGATCACATGAGGATTACCTGTTGTGATCCCTCCCTCTGGAGCATCTGGTATTAGTCACTGTCGGCAGACTGACGCTGTTCTTATAACACCAACTGAAACCTTAATAGTTTGAATTTAGATACTGAAGTAGCAAGTTAGTCAGGAAATCATAGTGCTTAAAAGGCTCAACTTAAATGTATACTGTATAAAAACACAGTAAGAGAACCAAAAAAGTGCCACAATGGCTTACCAACCAAGTAAAAGAAGCAGAGAGAGATAAAAAGGCATCATTTAAAAATGGAAGTTAAATCCTAGTGAGGAAAATAGAATGGAGCACAAAGTCTGTCAAATGAAGTGTAAAAATATAATTAGGAAGGCTGAAAAAGAATGTGAAGAACAGCTAGCCAAAAATTCAAAAAGTAATAGCAAAATGTTTTTTAAGTACATCAGAAGCAGGAAGCCAGCTAAACAACCAATGGGGCCACTGGAAGATCAAGATGCTATAGGAGCACTCGAAGATGATAAGATCATTACAGAGATGCTAAATGAATTCTTTGCATTGATCTTCACAGCTGCAGATGTGAGAGAGATTCCCAAACCTGAGCCATTCTTTTTAGGTGACAAATCTGAGGAATTGTCCCAAAATTAATTATCATTAGAGGAGGTTTTGTAAGAAATTGATAAACCGAACAGTAACAAGTCACCAGGACCAGATGGCATTTACCCAAGAGTTCTGAAAGAACTCAAATGTCAAATTGAAAAACTACTAACTGTGAATTGTAACCTATCCTTTAAATCAGCTTCTATACCAAAATGATTGGAAGATAGCTAGTGTGACACCAATATTAAAATTGGCTCTAGAGGTGATTCTGGCAATTACAGACTGCTAAGGTTAATGTCAGTATGGGGCAAATTAGTTGAAACTATAGTAAAGAACAGAATTGTCAAATGCATAGATTAACATCATTTGTTGAGGAAAAGTCAACATGGATTCTGTAAAGGGAAATCATGCCTCACTAATCTACTAGAATTCTTTGGGGAGGGAGGTGGTCAACAAGCATGTGATCAAGAGGGATCCAGTGAATATAGTGCACTTAGATTTCCAGAAAGCCTTTGACAAGATCCCTCACCAAAGGCTCTTAAGCAAAAGTAAGTTCTCATAGGGTTAGAGGCAAGGTCCTCTCATGGACTGATAACCGATTAAAAGAGAGAAAAGGATAAGAAACAAAGGATAGGAATAAAAGGTCAATTTTCAGAATGGAGAGTGGTGTCCAGCAGGGGTCTGTACTGGAACCAATCCTCAGATAAATGATCTGGAGAATGGAGTTGTCATGAACAAAAGGAGTGCTGACCAACACCTGGTGACTAAGGGGTTAATTCAGGTGCCTAGCAAAGGGGTCAGCCAGGGGGCCGGGAAAACCAATCGAGTTAGAGGCTTAGAATTTGAATTGGATATAGATACTCTGCCTGCTTTCTTTGGCTATGTCTACACTATAGGCTGCTTGCGCAAGAAGCTTAGATCTTCCACAAAAATGTCTTGCACAAGGCAGGGCATATAGAAGCATGGTTTTGAAGCGCTCTTGCGGGTCCTCATCTTCTGCATTCGTAGTGCCAGAGTGGGGAACAGCTTTGCTGTACTGGAAGCAATCCTCAAAATATTCATAAATGATCTGGAGAATAGAGTAAACAGTGAGGTGGCAAAATTTATAGATTATACCAAACTGTTCAAGATAGTTAATACCAAAGCAGACTGTGAAGAGTTTCAAAAAGATCTCACCAAACTAAGTGATCAGGCAACAAAATGGCAGATTAATTTTAATGTTGATAAATGTAAAATAATGCGCATTGGAAAACATAATCCCAATTATACATATAAAATGATGGGGACTAAATTAGTTCTCTGAAAACATCCACTCAATGTGCAGCAGCAGTGAAAAAAGCAAACAGAATGAGGTGTAACAGGTAATTCGAACTAAGGACTTAGTTCGAATTACCGCTTAACTGCTGCGTGTAGCCGTGGGCAGTTAGTCCAGACTAGTGTCATTTCGAAATGGCGACCGGACGGGAACATGCAAATAAAGCCCGGGATATTTAAATCCCGGGCTTCATTTGCAAGTTCGAATGCCTACATTAGCCTCCCTAGTTTGAACTAGGGGACTAGGGTAGACATACCCATAGAGAATAAGACAGAGAATATCTTATTGCCTCTATATAGATCCATGGTACATCCATATCTTGAATACTGTGTGCAGATGTGGTCACCTCATCTCAAAAAAGGTATCTTAGCATTGGAAAACATTCAGAAAAGGGCAAAAAAATGACGAGGAGTTTGGAATGGCTGCCATATGAGGAGTCCGGGACTTTTCAGCTTAGAAAAGAGGAGACTAAGAGTGGGATTTGATAGACATGTATAAAATCATAACTCGTGTTGAGAAAGTAAATAAGGAAGAATTATTTAATGTTCCCATAACACAAAAAAGAGGGGTCACAAAATGAAATGACTAGGTAGCAGGTTTTAAACCAACAAAAGGAAGTATTTCTTCACAAAACACAGGGAACCTGTGGAACTCCTTGCCAGAGGACATTGTGAAGACCAGGACTTTACAAGGGTTCAAAAAAGAAATAGATAAATACATGGAGGTGTAGCCAGACAGCCCGCCCCCATCTCATCCATCTTATTTGCCTCTCTGAGGTTCCTGAAGCATACAGGACAGAGAAGGAGCAAGAAGATCAGCATAGCCATTAAGCTTTGATCTGCTTTGACCAGGATATGCGAGTTTCTGACTCTGAGTAACGATTAAGGAAATAAGCTAAGCTCGAGGCTGCAAGAAGTGTCAGGCTGGCACCTATGCAATTAAATTAAATGTTGATCTCATGACCTTGTTTAGCATTTGTGTATTATTAGCCTTACTTATTTGTGGTCTACTTTTTCAGCTCCAGATATAAGACGGTTATTAAGA